GGGGTGGGAGGCTGCATGGGGTGGGGGGCAGGGGAATGTGTGTGGGGGGTGGGGTGAGCAAACTTCCTCTTCCAGCGAACCGTGGGGTGAGTGTGGGATTGGCTGTTTATGATTTCAGTCTTGGGGCGGGGGAAGTGTCCGATGTTGTGTTTTTTGTTTGGTTTTCAATAAAAAGCTTTTTGCTGCATGGAAAATCTCCGTGGCAGCCTCAGGAAACTGCTGTGTAAGTGCTGGGTATTGTCAGCATCACCCTTGAGGCTGGCTTTGAAGCTGCCATTAGATGAGAGGACAGAAGGTGCCTGGAGCAGGCTGGATCCTCTGGGAACTGTTGGTTTGGGCCTTTGGGTCCTATAGGCAGGAATAATGCTGAGTTGGGTGGGAGAGGGTGGCATGCAGCTGCACAAAGTTGCTTCCATTATATGTGTTTAATTTAAAATTTTAGTGGCAGGGCATTTCTTTTTCTCCTTTTCTGTTTGCCTAACATTTGTAGGTTTTGGAGGAGGCTTTTTCGCTGAGAGGTGGTACGAAAACTATAACTGAGAAGAAATTCACCTGGGATGTATAGTGATGGGGAGGGAAGCAGGATACATGCCCATCACTTCCAGGGAAGTAGCAGGTTTCCCTGTGCAGGGGTTCTCAACCTTTTTCTTACTTAACACCCTCACCCCCAACATGCTATAAAAAATTCCACACTCCATCTGTGCCACAACAAATGTCTTTCTGCATATCCTGTAGGGATGCCAGAAATTGTTCAATGATCATTAACTGCAACAATTCTTAGTGGTTACATGATTATTCAATGTTCCCTGTGTGCTGGGCCAACAGCCACTGCACTCCCAGCCCCACTCCCAGGGAGCCCCCTGCTATCTTGTGCTGCTGCTGCCTCTCTATCAGAGGCAGCAGCACGGGGTGGCAGACAGCTCCTCTGTACACTCTATTTAAAAATTGAACTGGCAAGCTAGGACTGAGCCAGCCTGCTAGTCCGAGTTTTGAATGTTAAGCATGTTGCGGGTGGTGGTGGTTGTGGTTAGCCAGAACCATTAACCAATAAGCTATTGCTAATGCTAACATCCCTAATATCCTGTAGGTAAAAGCCATCCGCAGCTTTAGGAGGTAGCAAGCAAGGCAATTGCTCTGAAGTCCAATGCCCCAGGAGGTCCCACAACAAAGTTGGCTTCAGCCATGAAGTAGGTCTCAGGCTTCTGCTTTCTTCCTTGGCCACCAGTGACTTGAATTCTGGCCTTGGTTTATGTTGGTGATCCCCCTGAAACCTGCTTGTGGCCTTTCAAAGGTCCTTGCAGGGGGTTCCTCATTGAGAATTTGCTTGTTCTTGTGAGAAAATAGAACAATGTTTAGGAAGTAGAGGGAAAACTACTTATCAGTTACTTAACATACTGCAAAATGAGCAAATTTAAGAGATAGCTACTATGAAGAAAATGCTGGGAAAATAAATAGTAACTGTTGTATAATGTTCTGATTCTTCCTACAGCAGGGATGTAAAAGTTGTGAACCAACAAATGTAAATCTTGGGCTTAGCAAAAATTTTTAATCTCGTTTGTCGGGATGTTAATTAAATGTTTACAATTACTGAACATTTTATAAAACAGTATTGTGGAATAGATTTTATTGTGCACTTTGGTCACTAGTAATTAGATTGTTGACATAGGTGAACTCATCTATTTACTGTTAATGTGAAACTGCCTTGAAGGGGACGAATTAAACTCCTTATATATTTTAAAATGTGGGTGTTTGTCTACGTTACCTTCTGTCTCTTTCCTTCCTTATCCTGCACCCAGTCAAATTAATAAGTCACATCTCTGTGGGTCAGGGGACTGGGCTGTGCGGTGGGGAAGCAGAAGATCAGTAAGTAATCTTGTCCCAACTTTATGGGTCCCTGGCCAGGTGTCTGGAAGGATTTTTTTCCTGCCTTCTCACCTAACTACCAGTAGCCCAGATACACTGGAGCTGTTTGCTATAAGTTGTACCCTGAATTCCACACACCTCTTGTCTGCATGATTAAGCTTATTAGTACTTTGAAATGCAGATGAGAAATGCTACTGCAACTGGTTGTTACCCTGAGTCAGTCTACCACTGAGCTAGTTTATTCTATGAGATGCTGGTTCAAGAGGTAGGGGGTGAACTTCTGTAACTCTGTGCCTTGTTAGATTTTCTGTAAAATTGAACCTCCATCCCCCTTTAGTTGCTGAAGGGGTGAAGGAACTCTCCTCTCCTCTCCCCCCTGCTGTCCCCATATCAAGCAGTGGGAGTGTGGGAGAGGACCTCTGCTATTCTACTGATTCTCCCAATCTTGAGTAGTGGCTTCTGCTTTACCCTTTTCCACAGCCGTTGTATTTTGGGTGGCCCTTTCCAGTGCCTGCCTCTGCTGGTCAGAGCTTTTCCAAACAATATTGTTCATATGACTTGTTTCACTGCTGCCCAAAGAGTCCTGCATAGTATCCTTAAAAGTGACTAAGGATATTGTTAATCTCCTTTTGGTACTGCTTGAAGATATGAACAGTAACAGAAATATTACACCTGTCTTCACACTTCAAGGTGGCATTATATTGGTTGATGCTTGGTTCCCATTTGTATAATTAACTTTGAAACCTCATTTTTAAATCAAAGATTTTGCAAAGGTCCCAATTGGGAGTAGGTGCCCATACTTGCCAGGGCCAACTGAAATTTATTGAATAGTACTTGAGGTGTTCACTTGCTACGTGTCATAACAGTGCATATAATTGAAATGTACTTAAGAAAGGACATATGTAACTGTAAATGCTGGATAGGTCCTTGCTCTTTATTGTAAGATTTCTAACTTCAGTCTGCATGGTGGAAATGAATATGTAGTACTAAAGTTAATGGGAACAGTACCCTATTTTCTCATTACCTATTTAAAAAAGTCTTGTCATGTATTACTATGTACCTGTAGAATGACAAACTTGATTGAGATTTTTAGATGCGCAAAATGTATTGTCTTATTCCTTTTGTTAATCCCATCTATTAGTCTGAGAGTGCTGTCTCTTCAGAGTGCTCTGCTCAATAGTATATCCATCCAGTTTTGCACAACTCATTCTAACATGTTATTCTTTATGCCGTCCAACTGTGATGTTTTGGGGGATCATCCAAACCAGTAAATCGGGTGGGGAGTCTCAGGCCTGGGGGCTGGATGCTTGCCTGGATCCGGAAATGCTTGCCTGGATTTGGCCCCCAAGGCTCAGCATTGGGGAGCCCACACTGGTGCTCCAGCCACCCACCCACAGGGCTGGAGCACACACAATCTACTAGCCTGCTCCTCCCCACCCCCACTCCCCCAGGCTCTGGTGTGTAAGGGAAACATGGGTAGTGTCTGTCTTCTCACTTTGCTTCTTTCTTGTGTGCAGACCCGACTGATTCCCCCTCCCACTCCATGTGTCAGTGGCCCCCTAACCAAAAAAGGTTCCCCATTCCTGCAGTGAAGTGTTACCTGTAACCTTGGGTGCTTCTGTGCTCTGCAACTTCGACTTAGAGACCTGACACTAGCAGTCTTTTTAAAGAACAGTGACTTAACCCTGGCTTCCTCCAGCTTTGCTATTCCATGCAGGGTGATTCCACCTGCCCCTCTGATCCTGAGTGTACCCAAAACCATCTCCCATGAAGTGCTCAGCCTTTCTCATTGTGAAACTTGGAAAACCTTAGCAACTTTGCTGCTACTTCAGAGAGAGAATCCACAGCCCCCAGCAATACAGTTAAACTGCCCTCCAGAATAACTTGCCAGCTGTCTACACTGGCCGCTTGCTTTTCCGGAAAAGCACTGACGATCTACTGTAAAATCATCAGTGCTTTTCCAGAAAAACTATGCTGCTCCCGTTTGGGCAAAAGTCCTTTTCTGGAAAACTGTTCCAGAAGAGGGCCAGTGTAGACAGCACAGATTTCTTTTCCGCAAAAAAGCCCCAATCGTCATTTTCGCGATTGGGGCTTTTTTGCGGAAAAGAAATCTGTGCTGTCTACACTGGCCCTCTTCTGGAACAGTTTTCCAGAAAAGGACTTTTGCCCAAACGGGAGCAGCATAGTTTTTCTGGAAAAGCACTGATGATTTTACAGTAGATCGTCAGTGCTTTTCCGGAAAAGCAAGCGGCCAGTGTAGACAGCTGGCAAGTTATTCTGGAAAAGCAGCTGATTTTCCGGAATAAGTGGCCAGTGTAGACACAGCCTTGGTGTAGACAGTTTTAACTCTACTCAATGTAGCTGCTGCCTCTTGGGAAGGTGGACTAACTGTGCTGATGGGAGATACCCTCCTGTTGGCATACTAGCATCTTTGTTGAAGACTGCAGCACCTCTTACGTATAAACCTGTCCCATTTTCCTGCAGTCCATCTTAATGAAACTGGACAGCAGGAGAGGTGTGGGAGCTGCCTGTCTTCGGAGGTGAGCTGCAGTCTATTTCATCTTGCATCTCATTTGGAAAATATTTGCAAACAAAATACTAAATGCTGACTTCTAGCTCTTGAAATTGATGTGTTGGGGCCCTAACACCTGCCAAGGACAGCTTTCCACTCCGTTAGTGGATGTTTCCATCTTGTTTTTTCACCATTATGAAAAATAGATGGTTAAGTGTGAAGTTAGCTGGACTTCATGCTATTCCTTCCTGCATGATGAAACTGTAACCTTGAAAGGTTTGGGATTTTTGTACTACTTTCTGACAGTCTTGCTGATGGTTAGTTTATTCTCCCTTGTTTCTCCCCCCATTAGTCCTAACCTTAGGATCACAATCTTGTTTGAGGGGCTTACTGTTACCATGCCTATTTTTTACTTGCTAGGATTGTATTTGACTTTCTAAGTAATAGTCAAATATAGACCTTTATCCTCAGACTCTTATTGTACATGGCTATAAAATGTTTTTCAAATGGCAGAGCCAATGGGATCTAATAAATCCAAGTCAAAAAAGGATTGGGAGTTTTCTGATTCATCCGTACTGACAGTGATGCTTATAGGATCTAAGGCTTAGCTCTGGGTTTGTCTGACACACAAGCACAATTGCTCCTGGCCAGTAGTGAACCAGAAAGCAGCTGGTCAGATTAAATTGAGGGAATAACTTAAAAACCTTGCTTATAATATTCCTTTATAATGTTAACCAGCTGAAAACCTTGTTAACCAAATGGTAGGAAATACATTCATAACAGGATTTTGAGGAAAGTAAGGGATCCTAGTACACGTCACCAGAACAATTTGACTGGCCTTAGTGAATTTTAGAAATAGAAATCAGCAAGTGTGCTGTTCCAGACAATTAACCAGAGTAGTATTTCATGGCTGCCTCATGGTAACTTGATAGGTGTAGAGATTATCTTTCCAAATTTGAAATTTGGAAGGATTTTTCTAAGGGCCTTCTGGCAGGAACCATTGAGTATTGATTGCTGATTCTTCAGTGTTGTATCTCATTAAAATCCTCAGTACAGGTAGGTGGATGCTAGTGTAATTCAGGTCTTTGTGTTCTCCCTGGCTTACCATATAATATACAGTAAACTTCTGATAATCCAGCACCTTTAGGACCCAGGGGGTGCCAGATTATCAGATACGTTGGACTATTGGAAGGGGGGGGCCTATGAGGGGTCTTGGGGAACTCTGGGGCAGAGCAGCTGGGGTGCTGCCAGGTTGGTCCCGCAGCGCCGAGGGGTGCATCCCCCGCACTTCACCCAAGTCAGCCACTGCTGAAATTGACCAGCAACTGACTCTGGGAAGCCCGACTTCCCTGAGTCAGCCGCTGGTCAGTTTCAGCAGTGGCTGAATTGGAGAATCCGGGGGCAGAGCAGCTCCAATTGTCCGGCTGCCCGAAGCACTTCCAGGTTCCAGATGGTGCCGGACCATCAGGAGTGCTGGACCATTGGATGCCGGACCACTGGAGTTTTACTGTACTGTTGAACTGGATTTTGGAATAACCTCTAAAACTGGTGGGATGGTGTCTGGTATTCCATGAGGTTCATCAGTAGGCTTGTTTCGAGGTAGTTACCCAATTCCAAGGCTTTTTAAAATAATGCTGATGAGCTTTAAAATGACAGACTATTGGTGAGGTGAGAAATAACGCATTCCCTCTGAAATGGTAGAATGAACTAAGGATGCGATTGGGAAGAATGTTTCACTAGTTGCTTATATATCAGTTTCTGTAGACAACAGATTTTGTAATTTGATTTTGTAATTTTTTTATAAAGTGTAAACTTAAAATAAAGAAAAACCTTATACTTTGGTGGAACACCTTTTGACTTCTTCCATCTTTGACTGCTCTTGGCCTTCCTAGCTGTCACAACTATTATTTTGAAACAAAACTGTCATTTTACATTTGGACTTGAATCCATGTTTATCTGGTCCTTGTGGTGCTGCGATGGGAAGTGGTTATAGGTGGGCAAGGTTTTCGTTAGATACTATATAAACATTCTTCGGCATGTCAAATGACTTGAAATTGCTCAGGTTTATAATCTTAATACAAATATTAAATTCTCTTCAATTTCTTTAATTCTAGGAAGCTCTGCAAAGGATTATCTCTACTCTGGCAAACAAAAATGATGAAATCCAGAACTTTATAGACACACTGAACCATACATTAAAAGGTGTTCAGGTACATGTATTAATACATCTGAAAATATTACACTTTATCGTGATGAAGTGGAGAGATGGAAGTGGATATCCAATTGAGTCAGACTGGGATTATTTATTTTCAGTTAAAAAGGTTCTTGTTGCGGAAGGAGCTGCTATTGACAACTCTTAAAACCAAAATGGAAAGCGGTTGTTTTTCCTGTTTATGGATAATTCTAATCTTGAAAGTAAAATGCAAGTAGAAGTTAAGTTCTGAAACTAAAATGCTGTGACTAGACTCTTCTATAGGGAAGAGTCTAAGTTTACTTTGAAGTTTCTGGCAGTTTTTTGATATGAAAATTGTGGTAGCTGGAATTATGTAAACTTTTCTTGCTGAATCCAGCTCATTCTTCTGAAAAGCCAATCTTCATCTCACATGTTGATACTCAGACCAAAGAAATCTCAACACTTGTCTTGCTTTTCAAGTTAATGCTCTTATATCAGTAAAATAGAGGATGACAAATTGTCAGGCTTGTATTTATTCCTGTTGATTCTAAAACAAGGAATAACTTTATTTCTCCATTGTCTGGTGCTTTTACATCTGTATAGTGGTCTCTGCGCAGCATTGATATGCTTTTAAATACAGTAAATCTAAAAGCAAGTTTCTTAAATGGTGGCAAATGAAACCAATTGCTGCTCTTGTAGTCCATAAAGTTATGGACTACTAGTCTTTTCTGTATGCGAGTTTGAGACTTGTATAAGTGAGGGGCTTTGTACTAGTGAATAAATCTCACACACCTGCATATTGTGAAGGATTCTATATGTAGCATTGCTGACTAGGGATGTTAAAATGTGTGTATTTGTAAACATGTGGCCACTGAAATTTTCAATGTTTACATGCGGGGGAGGAGGGGAAGGGAGGAGCTGGTGCTCGCAGGGAGCCAGCTTTTAAGCTGGATTCCCATGTGTACTGGCTATTGCCTGCTTCCCGCTTGCAGTGCTGCCTATGAATCGGAGGCAGCAGTGTGGGAGTGGGAGGGAGTGATGGAGGAGTGCTTTGTGTAACAGTTACACGTTCAACATCCCTATTGCTGACACAACTAACTGGTGACCTGTAATGCTCTGAATTGGCCATTCTTAACTCAGGGGGCACATCCATCCCAACTAGCATATAGTTGCAGCCCCACTCAGGTGTGCACTGAAGACAGCAGGGACAGGGCTGGCTACCCTGCCGCATGGTGGACTGCTACCCAGCTCCACAGAGCAAGGTTGAGGTCTGGGCTGCTGCCTGGCCCTCATGCCTAGCACCTGACTTTCACCTATTCTGGAGGGAGCACTGGGTAGTGGGTACTGGGCATGGGTGGGTGAGGGGAAGAGGTTAGATGGAGGCACTGTGGTTCTCAACTTGCACATAACACTTTGTGGGCTTCATATGCAGTCTACAATGATAAATAGCCTAAAAACCTATGCCCTGAAATAGCTAGTGTGCTTAAGAAGTTCACCATATCAAACTGCATTGTGATTAGCAAATTTTGATGAGGTGGGATAGCATGACAGCATTCAGAGTGATGGCAAATTTTAGTGGAGGGGAAAGCTTTCATTCTAGAAGACTGATCTGCATCACTCCTTGCACAACTGAAACACAATTGCAATTCTCTTCTCAGGCTAATTCTTCTAATGTAATTGCTGAACTGGATGAGGAATTTGATGGACTGTATTCTATACTGGATGAGATGAAGGAAAGTATGACCAACAGTATTAAGCAAGAACAAGCTCATAAATCTCAAGAACTACAGGTAACTACATGCTTCTGACGTACTAAAGAAGTAATTATAATTAGCTAGTTTCAATCTCGCTGCAAAAGATTTTTGCAGCAAGTATTTATAACACAAATTTACTCCTAGCTAAGGAGTATTTCATTAAGTACTTGTATGGTTTCCATTGCATGAGTCCCACAAATTTTTAAATTTAACTTGCATGGATGTTGAGTATAAGGAAATTCTTTTACTCCCCATTTTACTGATGGAATTGAGGTGCACAGGAGCTGACATGCCAGCTGGGACTTGACGTGGGTAACATCTACTTACTGATCTATACTTCTTCCTTGCTCTTCACACTTCAGGAGTTGTCACCTCATACTTGCTTAGTAGAAATTTGTCGCTACTCGATGTGTGTTTTTTCTGAAGTGTTGGATTACTGATTCTTGTATAAAAGCAAGATTCTTATATCCTACTCTGTGTAGGAAACTCTTTGGGAGTGGGTGTGCGAAGAATATGAACAAAAGAGCTGACACTTTGAACGGGGCATCGACTTTGTATTTTTTCAATAGTTTGTCACCGAAAGTGATTAATTCTTTTGAAAATGTAAACATTGGCATATGTTGCAAGGGACTATGAGTATCTTTAAAAAGTCCTATTTAACACTGAAATTGCTTTGAAGAACACTCCAATGTGAATGAATGGTATCCTTATTTTTCCTTTATTTTGAAAATGTTTACCTTTTCTCTTCACCCTCCCTCTCTGAAAGGCTTCCCTCCCCTTATTCCTTGCTCTCTCTTTCTATTTTGTTCAGTCATAGAGTTTTAGTATAAATTTCTGTGTTTGCTTCAGGGGCTTATTCACTGGTAATATTCAAACTTAAAGGTTTGGAAGCTAAACCTGGTTAAAATTGTATAAAAGCAGTTTGCAGAGTACACAGGAAAGATTGTGCCCCACATCTTCTGGTTTATTCTGTAGCACTGCAATGAAATAATGGAGTTGGAAGACCATTGTGGGTATTAATGTGCAAATGAGCACATCAGCTCCTCAACTTTTGTTCCTGAACTCTTGCAAATAGACTCTGACAAGGGCACTTGATGTGCCGCCTTGTCCTTACTCATTATGTACTTCTAGCTCCCTCGTAGCAGTACTGGTGTTGGAGTGCTGAAAGCAAGCTGAGAGGTTTTGACATGCAGGCTCTTCCTATGTGCTTCTCAAGGGAACACTGTAAATTTCCCACCAAATATAAGAACTGGTGTTGTCATTCAGACTTTTTTTAGTTTTAAAATAAGTTGTTAGGCTCTGGACTGGAACTTGGGTAACTAGTGCTTGAGAACAAAGGGTTTTGAAACTGGCCTAGCTGACACTCTAGATAGCGTTACCCAAACTATCGGCCGCAGCCTGTTACTGGGCCACGTGAAAAAAATACCGGGCCTCATTGTGGCTGCTGGGAGGGAAGCAGAGTGGGGTGGGCTGGGAGGGGGTGGTGGGGAACTGGTCACCTGGAAGCAGGGTTGGGGCAGTGGGGCTGTCCCGTGGAGATCGGGCGAGCAGGCGGTGAAAGCAGGGCTGTCGCGCGGAGATCCGGGCAGGCCGGCGGGTGGCGAAAGCAGGGTTGGACAGGAGCCGGGGACGAGGGGGGGCCTGGCTCGGGGAGATCAGGAGGAGGAGGACAGGAGAACCAGCTGCCGGAAGCAGGGCTGGACAGGGGCAGCAGGGGGAGGGGGGGGTCGTCGGGGGAGCGGGCATACCTTATTATTATTTGGGCATACCTTAATTGATTAAATTACTCAAGTCTGCATGCTGGACTTCATTAGCTAACAAAGCACTATCTCAGCTGTACAAAAGTACAGCTGAAATAATGGTCACTCAATGGTATATTAACTGGCTGTGACTCTTCATAGGCATTAAAGAAGCAATATCTTCTAATTTTACTGTCACCAGGGAGTGTTTGTGCTGTATTTAGAGGTAGCCTACTGTCTGTTGGGAGAATTACCTATTCCGTGTTTTTAAATGGGAAGAACTAGTAAGTTGTACAGTCAGCATATAATTTGTAGGTTCATTAAGAATAACACTGCTGTGTAACAGGAATATAATTTTCAATGGTCTTCTAAAGTTAATGGCAGCTGAAGAATTTTGAACTCCATTATAGTTCCAGGCTTTAAACTGCACCCTGCTCGCTTTAAAACCTGTGCAAGGCTAGAGGAAACCCCTACTTGTTTGTAGGGCATACTATCCAAATGGCAGTCATTTATAACTGACATCGCTCCTTCCATTCCCAAATACTGGTGCATCCTCTAATATTAGTATCTGCCTGGTAACGGTTACCTTGAACTGTTTAGAGATTCCCTTAGCTAAACGTTGCTATTGAGATGTCTGCTTTTATGGCATTTTGGCAACATTATGCAATGTTGTACAGGGTAGATAAAGCTTGAGTTATCAGCAACAGTCACGTGAGAGCCAGTGGACAGAAGCAATTTTGACTGGAAGGAGGTTGCATTAATCTCAACATGTGCTTCAGAAAGACGGTTAACTTGGATTCTAAATTGTTTTTTATAATCCTTACCTAAACTCTAGCTGGATTCAGCCTCTTACTTTGCAAAAACTAGGTACATTTGTGTCGTGTTTTAAGGGCATAGGTGTCCCCCCTCTAGAAAGAGACAAGTTCTGTATTGTGCAAACTTTTTGGCTTGCCACTGTAAGCTATTCAGGGAAGAGACTTAATATATTTGCTGTATGGTATCAGACGATCTCTTGGGCACTTGGGCTGTATGCCTTGATCTCAAAGGTAAGTAGCATTTTACAGATAGAGGAAATGATATGGATTTAAATGACCACAGGTGAAACAATTTGATGGCAGAGCTGGGACAGAGCTTATGCCTCCTATACCCTATACTTTGGCCTACAGTTAAGACCTCTTCAAATGGTAGTTTGTACTCTGTAGAGTATATCTCCAATATTGAACCAAAATTAAAACTGGAAAAGCATGATTGCAGCCATATCGAAAACCGTAATATACGCATTTATTTATTTGGCACACACGTGATACAATATTTAGTATAGTGAAAGGTGTAGTGTATACATCCATTGGGCTTTACAGCTGCCACCCAACAAATTATTTGCTCCTTAGTTTCATAGGGCATAGTAAACATCCTGAAGTTTTAGCTCTAGAAACTTATTTAGCAAAGATGTGTCCTGTGAAGAAGGATGCCAAAGCCCTTGAGTGACAGAGCTGATTCTTAGTACCACTTTATAATGCAGCTGGGGTAAATGTCCAAGTTCTGTGGTTCATACTAGTAGTCCGTCTTAGCCACTTTTAAAATATGAAACTTTTCTGTTTTCTCACCCTAGAATCAACTTAGCCAATGCAGTAATGCCCTGGAGAATTCTGAAGAATTATTAGAATATGCTGCACGGTCACTGGACATAAAGGACCCTGAGGAGTTCTCAAAGGTAGAAAATTGAACTGATGTGAATAAGGAAAATGCAGTTCTAGTTTTTATTCACTTGAGTGGGATTTCATCATAAACCTGATATTGCAAACTGCTTAGCGTAACAGTTGGAGAGGAGTCTGGAAAAGTGGCACTATGGCCAGAGGCTCTAGCTAAGTTGACGGTCACAAAGGTGAAAAATCAATAGCCAGATTAGTGTACTTTAGAATGAAAACATCCTCGTATTGATTTTTGTTCTCCTTATTTTGATGGAATATCACATTGGGATGCAACAGTGACAGCCACTGTCCTTTGATATAATTGAGGTTTAAAATCTTTCTTTAGCATCTGTAAGCTCCCCAGGGCAATTTCAACTGTATGCCTTGTGGACCTTCTAATGTGTGTATTGTACAAGTCTTCAGCACAGTGAGTCCTGACACAGTTTGAACAACTCAGTGTAGCTAATACAAACATATGTACATTACCATTAACAAACCAGAATTGAATGGGGAAAACACACCAAGGGGGAGAGGCATGGAAACACAATTAGATAACTGGACTGCCAGCATTTTACCAGTTAAGAGAGCCTCCGACCTGTTACCATACTTGACTTTGTTAATGTCATGCACCATGTTTGTTTTTTGTACTAACAATGCAGTGAGCTACATCAAATCCAAACCTAATTACTTGTCTACTGCCATTTTAATTTTCACTAGGTAATGAGGGTACTGGAAATCTCCTCTTCAAGAGACAGTAGAAGTTCTAGCTTCTCCTCCTTCTCCTCCTGAAACCTATTTGCTTAATTTGCACTGAAGGCCTGGCCATGTAAAGCTAAACATCTAGTACTTAAATCTGGGGAGTCTAATACATGCTGGCTTTATGACTGGTCTTGACTTTTTAAAATCTGACCCAGTTTTAAGTTCTTAAGACGTATTGAACTTAAAGCTAGAATTAGAGTTAATGGCTACCACGCAGACTTTATTAATGGAAATCTTATTCATACTGTGCTAAGTATAATGACCACTTTGGCATTTCAGATCAAAATCTGTTGTAAAGATACTAGTCAGCTGTAATCTAGTATTTGTACCTTGCACTGTTAGCTTGGGCAGAAGTCTCAACTTCAGCTCTGTGAGCACAGGCCTGCATGGGCTATAGGGCTCCATTTGCCTCACTATTATGGTCTGTACTGCTACAGCTATGACAGTGGATTTTTTTTACTTCATTGAGCTTTACTAACTGAAAGAGGAGGCAGGGGGGGGGGGGGACACGGGGCAGCTGTCCCTACCTTTTGACGTACTCATGTTTAATATTAAAATTACAGCAAAAATGGCACACACTTAATTGCAGTGTTCAAGAACCAATATTTTGGAATTGCTTTGAATCCAGATGCATTTTTAGTTAACCCTTTAATTTTAAAAAAATCCACTTATGAAATCCCTTGAAGTAGGGCTGACTTGTAAGCATGTATTATCTCCACAGTGTTCTATCAAATTTGCAAAAGTTCTTGCCTGCATCTGTTGTGGACACTGTTTGTTGTAGACACCATGGTTGCATGCTTTAGCTTATTTTTAGGTTAAAACTGCTATACTATAATTAGGCTTGAGAGGAATCCATTTTTCAGACTGTCATGAATATCGGGCCTCTGGTATCTACCGTGAAATCTTTCTTGTATAGCCATCAGACTGAAAAACCACTTGCTTAACGTAAGCATGTTCCTATACAGAATTCCACTCCAATGTGGAGATATTGGCTGAGAAACCGTAAAAAATTATCTACACAAAATTAGTACACTACCTGGTAGGACTGTGCAGTGTGAGTACTTGGCTAAATGTTAATGGTGAAGCACTGCAAATCTCTGCATCTGTAGTAACAGTATATGATCTTTGCAGAACTCTTTCTTTTAGCTGTGGCATATTGGTTGGTAAAGCAGTGTCAAGACTGGTTCCATGGACATCAAGCTACTGCCTGTGATGCGTCTCTAAAAATTTATCTAAGTGTTCATTACATGAAATGTGGACAATACCGTGACAAATATTCGCGCCATTGCAATTTTGTGATCCTTATACAGGGCACAGCTTTTAAATGTATTGCCTTATATCCACAACGTAAAATACTTAGACTATCATGTGGCTGCCATCAGTAATTATTGGCTACAATATTTGTGAACCATAGCAATAGTCTCAGTAGAACTTCATTTGAATGTTACCATGGTCCTGTTTCAGCTAAAGATGGTTGAAATGACTCACTTCATTCATGTACAGCAGTATGAAGTTGAGTTAGTACTGATTTCTGCTCACTGGCCAGCCAAGAATAGGCAAAGATGTTTCTTGCAAGTTTCCTATTTAATTTTTAGACCCAGATTACATTAGATCATAAGAATAGGCAAAGATGTTTCTTGCAAGTTTCCTATTCAATTTTTAGACCAGATTGCATTGGATCACAGCTTAAATACATCGTCTAAATTTACATGTCCCTTCAGGCGACACTGGTGAATTGATACAAGTCACTATTTTGACAAACTATCTGTTCATGTTCCTCACTATGTACAGATATAGTGTGTTGTATGGCTTGCCAGCTAAGAAGTTAAGCTTTCAGTAAGATGTAGAATCCCTTAACACAAGAAACAATCTATTTTCACTTGCATGGAGATAGCTGTTTTCAAGTTGTGGGGAGGGCATGAATCTTGTTCATGCCTACTGTTCATGCCTACTGTATTTAAACTGATTAGGGATGGATTTTTGTGTCAGGTGATATTTAATGAATTGGACTTTGAATGTTTAAAACAAGTTGAAACTTTTCTTGAGCTAAATTGTTCTCTGTGAAATTGATGTGGAAAAAACAATGAACAAATAAATGTTACTCTGACACTGAATGTTTAGATAAGAGAAGAAAATTGGCTCTATGGCAACTATGTCCTAGCATGGTCTGCTGAGCCAGCTCATTTGATCAGCAGTTCTCATTTCTAAAATGAGAATTGTTCATTTTCTTATTACAGAAACTACACTGATGTTTCAGGGGCTTTTGGAAGGGATAATCGTGTGATTGAGAGCTCCATGTTTGCTTTGTTAGAGAAATGACAGGATGGCTTCTGGGGCATCCCTGAACATTCTTATCTCAATTCTAAGATGTAGATCATAGTTTCAAGAGACCTTTTTCTTGCACCCTGCTTCCCCCCCCACAAAAAAAAAATTAAAGAAGCAGATATTAAGAATTGTAATTCAGAGCTGCTACGTAAGACCTTATTAGGTTTCTCAAAGTAGGATCTCTTCCCTTGAGGATGGTACCAAATTGGTGAGGAATGTCATTGGTCAAACTATTTTTAAATATACTTTACACATCAGGTATTTAGTAAATAAGGTCATGTAAAGTGAAATTCACCTCTGCGCACAAGGTCTTGTGCAGGGGCACTCCACACTGAAGTGAATTTGAGTCTTATTGCCTTCTGTAGGTTGAAATAATCCAACTATGTACTGCATATTGGTTGTAATTGTACTAGGTGAACGTCAACATAAGATCCCCATAATGAAGCCCTTATTGTGGTATAATTTCCTTACTGCAAGACTTTCCAGTCAAAACAATAAGGTCTCAAGTATTTCTAAGCAGATATTTTTAAAAAAACATGACTGTCACTATGTAGGTTTTCAGGACATGCGTGATGTTTGCGTTTCCAACTGTGGCATACAAAAATCTTTCCATTGGAAAACTCATTATGTAAACATTATTGTAATCTAAGAGGACCTTTCTATTAGGTTTTTAAAAACACTACTGTGTGTCTAAAATGTCCTAAGCTTCCTGGCAGTTAATCCGCAGGGAACAACATTTCAGTTGGAGGTAACCTCAAACTAGAAATTGCGATGTGAAAGACTTGGGTGGATGAGGCAGTTAATCCGCAGGGAACAACATTTGAGGTTACCTCCAACTGAAACTAGAAATTGCGATCTGAAAGACTTGGGTGGATTCATCCACCCAGTACATGACTGAGCTTGTTCAGTAACCGTATTCTTAAATGTTGGCTGGCCTTGCTGTTTTTCAGACAGTAAATTTGTGACTTTGAGACCCGTAGAACAGCTGCATTTATTCTAGGGCTTGTACAACAATAGCAGGAACCTGCATACTTGTTATACAAGTCCATATATTGGCGCTTCAGAGGAATACATAGGGAAAATCCACAAAGTAGGATAGATTAAAAAGTACAGTCACTTTCAGATGAATTTTTTCTTTATGATTACAGAATATGAGTATTTATTCAAAAGAGCAGAAGCTAAGTAAATGATACTGTCTTCTAAACCTGGAATTATGGATGCAGGAAGAAATTTACTGACAAACTGGATATTGGATCTTAATTAGAAAGTCCAGTAATTTGGAGTGGGTTTGATGTGGCTTTTGAAGTTTGATTTCTCTGATCTGACTTATTACAGCATTTCTAACCATTGCACATTAACAAGCTTAAGGAAGGAAATATCTTGCATCAAAATAAGTGATACAATGTTGTTCGGTGTTTGAATCTGAGCTAAATATCTTGCATCAAAATAAGTGATACAATGTTGTGCGGTGTTTGAATCTGAGCTATATAGCTGTGGGATTCATAATCTAACTCTTCTTGCATGTTACTACAGTTGAGACTTGCATGGATGCACTAATTACCTTCTCTCTCTTCTTCCTGATATGCACCAAGGCTGCCAGACAGATCAAAGATAGGTATGGTACAAAACCTTCTTCTACAAAACTTCTTGCTTTTTAATTGTTATCTTTTTCACTGAATTAAAAGTCCAATATTAAAGGGGCATAGTCAACTTCTTTCTAATACCTGTTAGGTATTACTTACAAGAATATCACAATTGAAAGAGATGAATTATTTGACCGCATTCCTTATATAGTCAGTTTTCTACTCTCCCATGTCTAGTTGTTTAACCTCTTCCTCCTTTTGGGGAGAATCTTTCACACAGCAATTGGGGAGAAAAATAGGTAACGACCTAGAAAGTGTGGGGGTGAGAGCCACAGGGACAGAAAAGCAGGTGTGAAGTTTGAAAACCTTTTAAAAAATGTTTTTGAAGTTGACAGTTTCCCTTTAAGTTGATATTTTAAACGTTTCTAGGGGTTGAATGCTCTGTTTTAAAAGTGAGGGGGTGCCTTGCAGCTACATTAGTTCTAACGAGTTATTCTAGTCTTGACAATGAATGAATGTTTTTTGGGTAGTATCACCAGTGGGTTCACTGCCTGCATTTGTGATCTTTGCTAAGGTGTTTCCTCTTTTAAAGAATGTGTAGAGTCTTCAGTCACCTTTGCAGAATAAAAAATCTTCTATTCAGCTAAGTTTTTAATGTGTAGAGTCTTCAGTCACCTTTGCAGAATAAAAAAAAACTTCTATTCAGCTAAGTATTTTGTTGTGAAACAATGTTAAGGTGTAAGCATAGGTTTCTTCTGGATCAGGACAGTTTACTAAAAATATGCCCAGCAAACTCTGGCATCTTGGTGGGTCTCCCTAAAGAATAGAAGCACTTTTAAAAAGTGTTTAGAGATGAGCTGTATACTAGGGATGGTAGCATGTACTGGTTTACACAATTAACTGATAAGCCTGGGCTCATGGGTAAATCCTAATGGTTACATGCACCCCCCTGCTGTCTCTGTATCAGAGACAGCAAGGTGGGGGGCAGGAACCGGTGCCTGTAGGGAGCTAGCTTTTAAGCTCGCTCCCATGGAGCCTCTTGCACCCCTTTTTGCTCCTGCTGCCTACCACAGAGGCAGCAGTGTGAGGAGGGCAGGTGGGAATTGGTGCTTGCCTGGCCCCTGCATGTAACCATGTAACTACTTAAAAAAAATGTAGCTCCTGACATTTTTAACATCCCTACTCTGTGCAACATGTGGAAGACAAGCCCTCCCATGAGGTTCCACAATGTGTTGCTTCCACTGACTGGTTGGTGGTTGAGTCAAACATTTCCATGAGAACTAATAGGTTAATTACCAAGGGGAAAAAGCTAGTTTCATGCTGGAATTCATGTCCAAAGTAAATTGTATTCATTGCTATATGAAACTAAACTTTCTACCCAAACCAAGTAGAAAGAGAGAATCCTTAAAAGTTTAAGAGTGGTGGCAGAGGTTTTTAATATGCTCCAGCTCTTTTGAACAGTAGCATGCTTCCTGTTATCCCTTCCGGCTTATGAAGCTACTCTAGCAGTATTCAGTCACTCGAATTCAGTCAGTTTGAACAGTGAATTCCTATACAGCTGGCTGTTAGCCAGACATAGAAGTTTGACTCAGAATGTGGATAACTGAGGCCACTTCACCATCTGGTCTAGACAAGACAGTTTGAGTACTCTGGTAGAGGGTTTAGAATGCCTTTCATTCAAAGATTGAGGCTCCTGTCAGATTTTAACGATTTCACAGCTATCATGATATTGAATAATTTCATGGAATCTAAAACTGATGCTCACAAGTCTAAAATTCCTTAAGGAATTTGTTGTTATGCAGCATTGATTCTTTAGCTCTCGTCATCAAATTTGAAATTTTATTTTCATATCTCTTTCCAGTTTTATTTCAACTTTGCTAAACAATGGTGTTTTTTCATAATTTAATAGATTGCTTGATTAAGGTTAGGTGTCTTAGTTTATTGGTGGAGTGCATTAGAGTTGGAATTGATTGTGTAATAGTAAATTGAGCTAACATTTGAGATGTAATAGCTTCCAGTTTTGATTCCTACCCTCCCTGAATTGCGTTGGAGAAATTAAATGGCCACAGTGTTTCTGCTCTTCACCGTGCCAGCTATATTGTACTTTTCCCTAAGCTGGCAACCTGTCATCCTTTGCATTGTTCTTTGCTTTCTCCATTAAGTCTCTAAAATGTTACTAATTCCCTCACTATCTCCACTGCTAAAATCCTTTTTTTCCCCTGCATGCACTATGGTGCGTCTACTCAGCAGCGTTATTTTTTGAATAATGTCCGTTATTCTGAAATAACAATGTGAACATCTATGTAGCAATTCTGTTATTTTGAAATGAATTCAAAATAACGGATGAATAATGCCTTTTCCAAATTGCTATTTTCAAATAACTGTAAATAAATATAATAAAGTGGATGCTCCACTGCTGCTATTTCAAAATAGCTCCTCTCTCGTGCCATTCAAAGTAATTACTCCCTAGTGCTTCCTGGAGCTCTAAATTGAGGTAGCACGTCCACATTAGGGGTACCTGCCTTGGACTAATTTTGAGGCTTCCATGTCATGTAGACATGCAATTTTGAAATAAGCAATTTCAGAGTTTCTTCCAGAATAGCTTATTCTGAAATAAGCATGTAGTGTAGACTGGCTCTTAACCCCATACTTGCCACATGTAAAGTGACCCTTATATTTCTTCACTTAAGTATTTAAGAATCCTATTGCTAGCCACTTCTCAGCTCTCACAGATCCCTGGATGTGAATTTGGTAGAGATGCCACTTCTATCAAACAGTATTATATTAGCTACTGCTTTTCAGAATTTCCTAAATGTTGCAGGTTTTTTTAATGGATGGGATAGATTGAGCATTCTATGTCAGAGAATTTGACAAAGGGACAGAACTCCAGAGTAATGCTATACAATTTTGTTAAAAGGTGGCAAAGACTTAGCGGGAAAACCCTACAGTATCCCACTTACATAGACTGAGGATGTTATCATACCAGTATTCAGTCTCTGATGTTTCTGAAGTTAGATCTCCAAGCTAATATTGAAGCTAACTATTCCCTGCTCTCATCTCTGCCACGATACTGGTTATATATTTACATGCAGTCTAAAGTATACAGCTAACCTTCCCTCATCCCCTAAATAAGATGAATAGGGTGGCACTCATAAAGCATGCTTATTCAACTCAGCAGAAAACATGCTTAGTTTCTGAGTAATATCCAATTTCAAAAGGGGAATCTGCATTTTAAAGACAACTAGAATTTTCCTCAGGAGACTTAAGGTGCTTTATAGTGAAATCTTCAATGGACTTGCGTAACTTAGGACTAAATTGGACAGTGTTGGCAGCTAATGCATTTCTAATAATGGATAAGTTGATACTTGGAATGTTGTTGGGCTTAATTCTCAGATTTCAGAAAGTATCACCCTACAGTCTTTATTCCTCAGTGCCTTGCATCTTTTGTTTGCTTATGTGTCAAGTCATCAGGGCCTAATGAAATACACCCTTGAATACTTAAGGAGCTGACTGAAGAGAGATTTGAGCCATTAGTGATTATTTTTGAAAAGTCACAGGGGGGAAAAAAGATCCTAGAGGACTAGGAAAGGGCAAATACATCTATAAAAAGGGAAATAAGGGCAACTTGAGGTATTAAAAAACAGGCAGCTGAACTTCAGTACCCAGAAAGATAATGGAGCAAATCATTAAGCAGTCTCTTTGCAGACACCTAGAAGATGAAGTGATAAGTAAAAGCATGGGTTTGTCAAGAGCAAATCCATGTCAAGCTAAGCTAATAGCTTTTTCTGACAGGATAAATGAGTCTTGTGAATGGGGTGGGGGAGAGGAGGGAACTGGTGGATATGGTCTGTCTTGACTTGCAGGCTTTTGATAGTGTCTCACATGACCTCAAAATTAGGAAAATGCAACCTAGATGGAGCTATTATATGGTGGGTGCATAACTGGTTGGAAAACTGTTCGTAGGCAGTAAGTAGTTACTGGTGGCTCATAGTCAAGCTGGAAGGGCATACCAAGTGTGGTCTAACATGGTCAGCCCTGGGACCAGTTGTCATCCATATCTTCAGTGATTTAGTTAAGGGCAGAGAGAGTAAACTTATGAAGTTAGTGGATGATACCAAGCTGGGAGGGGTTGCAAGTACTTTGGAGGATAGGATAAAAATTGAAAATGATCTGGAGAAAGTCTGAATAAGATGGAAATAAGGACAAATGCAGAGTACTTCACTTAGGAAGGAACAATCAGTTTCACACATACAAAATGGGAAGAGACTGTCTATGAAGTAGTAGTATTGCAGAAACAGATCTGGTAGTCCTAAGGGAGTCAGTGCCATGTCGCAAAAACTTACAACGTTCCTGATAATACATCTCAGAATGATCTTTGTAAGCAAGACATGAGAGGTAATTGTTTAGGCCTTAAATGGAGCATTGTTTAGTTCTGGGCACTACACTTGAAGAGAGATGTGGACAAATTGGAGAAAGTCTGGATAAGAGCACAAGTGATTTTAAGGTCTGGAAAATATGACCTGAGGGAAGATTGGGGAAGAGAAGAGGCTTCTTTAGTCTGGAGAAGAGAAGACAGAGGGGACATAACTGTTTTCAGATGAATAAAAGGTTATTAAAAGGAGGAGGGAGAAGATTGTTCTCCTTTAACCTGAGGATCAGACAAGAAGCAATGGGCTTAAATTGCAGCAAGGGAAGTTTATGTTGGACATTTGCAAAAATTTCTTAACCGCTAGGGTGGTTAAGCACTGGAATAAATTGCATAGGAAGGTTGTGCAATTCTATCATTGGAGATTTTTTTAAACGCCGATTAGACAAATGCCTATCAGGGATGGTCTAAATAGTACAGGTCAGATCCCTCTGGCTCAGCAACCTTAGGACCTAACTGGATAAGATTGGAAAAAAGGACAAATGCAGAGTACTTCACTTAGGAAGGAACAATCAGTTGCACACATACTAATTTTTCCCCTGGTCTGGAAAAATCCTTCTTCAGGCCTTCCCTCCTGCCACCAGCTGTCTCCTGCAACCTAGATGAGCTGTGCACTGGCTCCCTGTTTTCCTCCCTTACAGCCCAGTTGAGCTGCATGCAGCTGCTGGGCCCCCACCCCCTTGCAAAGCATCGGGACTCTCTGATCCCGAAACATCCATGGTCATGCCAGACGATGGATGTTGCTGGATCAGAGAGTCCTACATTTTAGAGATGGCAAAACTAAATACAGGTTGCACGAGTACAGGGGACTGGACAAGAACCTCAAGAATTTCCTTCCAGTTCTGATTCTAGTCTTGTGTCAAATGGCTGTAAAATGCTACCAAATGAGTTTTTCACTTGGTGCCTAGTGTTACTCTGTCTGCATGGGTTTAAATGAATACAAGCTATAAAGCATAGGAGAAGTGGGCCTTGGTGTCCTTTTAGTTACTTCTGGGCTATCTTACTTGGATTCCTGTGAGCACTGATCAATGAGGTGGAGGCACTTTGAAGTAACCCTAGATCTTTTGAGAGATCCCTTGGCAATGAAACACTTTTGGCAACTTCAGGAAACTGACTAAAACCATTTTATAATGTGGGAACTGTTGGGGTATTTGTTTTTCTCTGCAAATATAAGGAAATAGCAGCTTACTCAAATGTGTAGCACCTTCTGAAGTGAATTTACAAAATCATGTTGTTTTGACACTTCAAAAGTTAACATCCCGAGTATAGAATTTCCAAAATATGAACCACATTTTCCTAATAAACCTTTTTTCCTTTAGAGTCACAATGGCTTCAGCATTCCGCATCTCTTTGAAACCAAAGGTCAGTGATAACATGACTCATTTAATGGTGGACTTCTCTCAGGAAAGGCAGATGCTCCAGGCTTTAAAGTTTTTGCCAGGTAAAATGAAGTCTGTACTAAACTTTTTTATACTGTAAAGTACCTGGGATAAGCAATAGTTCATGCATTTTAATATATGGATTTTTTTAGGCTACTTTAAACCGTTTCCTCAGTATTTACTAAAGCTGTGTGTATTTTGACTACATGGTAGATTTGTATACTCTATTTCATAAAGGTGATAGCATATGTTTAGACCTTTCTATGTGAGGGCCGATTAACAAAGATGGGAATGGAACTTGATCTTTGCACCCAGACCTATACTTGTTCCTTTGCCATCATGGGTAATTGCTTGAGATCCTATGGGGAAATGGCAGTGTATCAAATGTTTTACATACTCACAAGCTGACTCTTGTTTGACACGTTACTGCTTTGCATTCAGTTGAAGATGCCAGGGCTATGTGTGCAGAGGCAACATTGTTTGTTTTTTTACTCTAACTGCCTTTTAAAATATGATCTGACTAGAAGACTTACCCAGCATTGCTTGGGTTGGCTCAGGGCAGGGGTGGAGCCGTACACCCTGGCTGCTTGTTTCTCCCTGGATTGGCCCAGAGTGAAGGGTGCGGGGACCTGCACGGACTACCCGCTGGTGCTCCCTGGGGCGAGGTGGAGTTGTGCCATGCGCACACACCCTCCAGCACTCATTCCACAGTATAATGTCCTTCTACCAGGCCCCCCCTTCATAAGAAACAATCTAATTCCAGTCACATCCTGTTTCCCTGGCACAACCAAACTCTGACGTTGCTTTAGTTAAGCTAGGAAGAAGCTGCTTATCCAATTTGGTGGTCCTTGCTCTTGTTTAGGAGTATTTGGACAAATGAACTCCGATACATTGCTAAAATAGATCTTTGAATTTCCTGGATTAGATACTAGATTTCAAAGGCAACAGTCCACTAAACTCCAGCTTCAGGAAACCTTTCCTTTGGTATGGGTATAACAAACCTTGATGCTGTTTCCAAACCTGTGAAGTCGCCTGCTGGCACTCATTCTCATTTCTGCTGTATGATCTGAAGGTATTCTTGGTTCTGTGCTTAGTGTTGCTTTAAATAGGGATGTGAAAGTTTAACTTCCCTATTAGCCATAATGGCATGCTTTCCCAGTTAATGGACAGGCCTGGCCTGCCTGCAGCAGCCCCCTCCACCTGTGGCACAGTGGGCCTGACTGGAGCAATTAAAATATTGTTTAACTGATTAGCTTTTTAATGAGTGTTTACATCCCTAGTCTCCAATCAGTATCATGATGCTTAATTGGCAGCTCCTGATTGGGATCTGTTCTGAAATTACCATTCAGTCCTTAACCTCTGGATGAAAATGGCAACTCAGTTCCTCTTAGCCTTTTTTAGATGAGAGAGGAGGCTTGAAATGCTGCCTGCATACTGTTCCTGTTACGTGGGATGACAGATGGAGTGCCCAGTGCTGTCAGTCAAAAAAAAGTTTGTAGGCACTTAAAAACCAAAAATTCTTACATTCCTTAATGGAGCATTTAACCCTTGTTGAAATTGGCTGCATACCATATTTGTTTGGCTGCATGCTTGTTCTTGCAAGAGAGTCTAGCACTTGGCATTTAGATATGGAAAGATCAATTGTAAGGATATCACTGGATTTTTTTCTAGTGGTTAACTTAAATAGCATGTAACATTTTTTTGGTACAGAACTGTCACTACTTATATAGCAGCATGGATTCTTTTTGCAGGCAAAATTTATACTGGATGTTGATTCAGAAAGTTTGAGACTTCAAACTTGGTGAGATGATGATCCCAAGGCATTTATATAATGCTCGTTACGATGGTACTGAAATATCCTATGACTTCTAAAAGTGAACAAATGACAGTTTCATGTTTCTATTAACCATGTTGAACCTAAGAAGCAAAAAAAGGGACAGGTGCTTCAAAAATTGTGGGTGTGGCTTGACTGACAAATTATACAGGAAAAGCAAAACTAGTAAGCTTTTTCAAAGATTTGTATGAGACTAACTTAAATGCCTTTTGATATTAACATTAGGATTCTAACTTCTGCATCTTCAAAAGCTGGAAAATATAACTTTTTTTATACTTATCTTCAGATTCTTCTACAACATTTTGTCTAGAACCTTGAGGGGAATAGGTTGTCAGTGTTCTCTGGAGAGGAAGATGGCTAGTAGGTAGGATTAAACATGTCAAAGAAGTTGAACGCTCCTTGAGTTGACAACTTTCAAAAGACCAGAATGTATGTGGAGTCAGACTAGGGTGACTGGACATGTTAATGCTTTCAGATGGCTTTTTTTTCAGCACACCTATTGTCAGACCAAATAAGCTGGAAATGTATTGAGGAGAGAGCATAAAGAATGGCAAGCCTTGCTAATTACTAGACTGGCCATTTGATGATGGTCTTGCCTGATTTTTTTCAATATGCCCTCAAGTAGTCTGTAGACATATGGCTTCATTTAACAAAATGTAAGGAGATTTTTACATGCAGGGGAATAATAAACTTGTACTTGCTGGCTTGAAAGACCGCAATTTTTACTGCTTCATAGTCATCCTCACTTTGCAGAGCTGATTAGTTAAGGGAGCTAAAAATTTCTGATGCATCAACAAAACTGCCTAGTAAATTCCAGTTGGGTACATCGGTGCAAGCCCAGGGAAAGCAGCAGTGTTGAAAACCATAGATCCTTCATAGATCTAAAAATGGCTGTACTGGGTCAGACTAAAGGTCCATCTAGCCCAGTATCTTGTCTGCTGACAGTGGTCAATACCAGATGCCCCAGAGGGAAGGAACACATGTGATCCGTTCCCTGTCACCCATTTCCAGACAACTTATTTGTGGTCCTAAGTTAGAATGCAGAGTATCGGCAATCGCGCATGACATGAAATGAACAGCTTGAATCAGAAGTCCCATTATAGGGGGAAGAGAAGGGAGAAGAATCACCTACTTCATGAACAGTGTGGTTCCACAGAAATACAGGGCTAGAGTTGGAAGTCCATTAATGCATTTTTATGGTGACTTGTCAGAAGAATAGCTTGCTGCAAAGTGGCAGACTTCAGGGGAATAATACATTTAATGGGTTGTGCGCAAGCGTACTTGAAGTATGTTCAAGCCTGTTTTTAAGGTAAAAACAGGTTCTTGAGCAAGAAGTACATGGATACTTCTTTCCTATTCTGTTGGTGTTAATTTGACTTGTACAGTTCTTGGTTTCACCTTACTGATTAAATAAGCTTTTCACCATTGGCTCCAGCTGTATTTGGCTGCTTGCCTTTTTTGCTTATGTTCAAGAAGAAGCCTATGAAATTTCATTTGATTAAAATGGACCACTGGAGTGGTTTTTTAAGTCCTACTTAGTAATTGAGAGTCTGCTTTCCATTAGCATATCATGCAACCATCTTCTGATGCTGCCTCTTTCCCACTCCAAGCACAGTGAGAGCTTCAGATGTTACATTTGGGGACTTAGTTGGAAAAGAGAAATATAGTGAAATTGGTTCAAGTTGGAGAATGTGCCCTGATGGGCATCTTGGGTAGTTGGTTTCGTGAGGCACCGAGGTTCTGTACTGACCCAATATTTTACTACTTTCTAGTGAAAGAGTAACTCAAAACTTAATAGTGGTAGAAATGTAGCCGTGTTAGTCTGGGGTAGTTGAAGCAAAATGCAGGACAATGTAGCACTTTAAAGACTAACAAGATGGTTTATTAGATGATGAGCTTTCGTGGGCCAGACCCACTTTGGGTCTGGCCCACGAAAGCTCATCTAATAAACCATCTTGTTAGTCTTTAAAGTGCTACATTGTCAAAACTTAATGCAATGGGGCTTTAATAAAAGCAGATTTTTTTATCATATAGTACTTGAAAGATAGAATGTCTTCTGTCAACATACTTTACTGATTTTTTTTTTTTAAATTGGAGGATAAAATAAAATCCATAGTAATATGAGTAAACCTTAAATTTAGATGATTGGAAACATACTTTCCCCAGTGTCTTGATAGTGAAAAGCTAGCTTGCTTTGTAGCCCTTATATTTTTGCTTGGATTTTGCCAGAAAATAAACTACAGAAAATTATTTAACTTGTGTTCTTAATACAATATTTTTGATAGGACCTAGCTGATCTTGAGATTACATGTTCGTACAAGTGTGCACGCGCGCACACTAAATTCACCCAAGTGCTTTGTGTTCAGCTTCACTATAACGTCTGTATGTACTTTGTTTTCCCTGGAAATGTTATGTTGTAAATATGCATAAGGGTGCTTGTATCCAAATATTATGCATCAACCTTTTTCTAAAGTGATGGAAGCATTCTCTTGGTGCAGGATGCTATATGGTGCCCCGTAACTGAGTGCTCTGTTAAGATGCATCTGAAAGCCTGAGGACAATTTAATCTCAGAATACTCTTCCTCTTTGCTTATTGCAACTATGGAATGACAATTGCCAGTCCCTGCCAGCTCTGTTTGCTTGGTACTGTTTATACAAGGAGGTCCGCTTGACCTGTATTATCAAAAACAAAGATAGACAAGGGTAAAAACTAATTCTAGAGCTGATGCACATTTGTTAGCAAAATGTTAGTTTTGTTTAATTCTATTTAATACACTGCCTGTTAAGTAAATATATCAATTGATCTTAAGTTTTTATTTGTAAAGCATGAAATAAAACCCCAGAAAAGAATGAGCACTACTGAGCTTAAAGGCAATTTTTTATTTTCTTGTGTAGATCCCAAATAACAAACTGTGACATTAGGATGGCAAACACTTGTTTTCATCAGTTTTGTTCTAACTCTGTCGTTCCTTTGTTTTTGTTCTTTTACAGTCCCCAAAGCTCCAGAGATAGATCCAGGAGAGTGTCTGGTAGCTGACAATGCGGTAACGGTAGTGTGGAGAATGCCAGAAGAAGACAACAAAATTGATCATTTTGTATTGGAATACAGGAAAACTAATTTTGATGGGCTTCCTCGTGTAAAAGATGAAACATGCTGGGATCTGATAGATTATATTAAGGGCACTGAATATACATTATCTGGTAAAGATTGCTCATTTACCCTCTAATGTCTTCTGCTTTTGAATGAACACTAAGGATTTTGGTATTGCGTAATTCTCTTAGAGGCAAGGTGTGTGTGAGAGGATCACTTAGTGGATCTACTTCTCTTGGTGAGACAAGCTTTGTGCTTACATAGAGCTGCTGTTCGTGTCTGGGACCGGCAGGGCTGCAACACTGTAAACGTAGAACCCTGTTCATCAACCTGTAAAGTGCTCAAACATTCTGTGGAAGGGGCATCCTTACAACAAACAAATGTTACTTTGTAAATCAAGGTAGCTTCCAGATAGCTCATCAGTTGCAGGGCCTTCCTGTACAAACCTGGGTCACCTTGTTTTTAACTGCTAGTCCTCCTCCTTCTATACTAAATGAACAATTTACCTTAATCTTAAAATACATTAAACTAATCATGTTACGGCAAACATTAAGTGCTTCAAAATCTTTTTCAGGACTGAAATTTGATTCAAAATATATGAATTTTCGAGTAAGAGCTTGCAACAAGGCTGTGGCAGGGGAATACTCTGATCCGGTGACTTTGGAAACTAAAGGTAAAATGACAGCCTTGCGTGAATGTGCAGAAAACAGTATCATGAATGCTGAGGAGAATAGAGCACTTACTCTGCTGCCATTAGGCTGTGTAGAAAGAGGCAGTGAAAATGTGGATCCATGGCTTGTGGGACGAAATTTAAATGTCCTCTCTTAGCAAGCCTACATGAAAATGCGTTGTTAGGCTGCCTAGTCCAGTACCAGTACTGTACATAAACATCAGGCACTACTAGAAGTTGAAAAATCTCTGTAGGTGTTTAACCATTCCTAGCTCCAGTATCCAAGTTTGTCTATTGTAAAAATGCTGGTCAGGCTTCTGAAGTATTGATTATCACAGTTATTAATTGGCAAATGAAATGTTTGGTTTTGCTGTTACTTGGAACTGTTCGAGGTAAGAATAGAGCTTGACAGACTGCTTCTGAGCACTAAGGTGTCATTTACATACGTGTTCATCTCAATCAGAAGATGACAATGATTAATATTTGAGGATTGCTGGGGGTGAGGAAGAGAATGGGATGGACAGACATGTGAGTCCCTCTGTCTTGGGGAGTTGCATAGTGAACAACTGGAGCCGCAGAAATCCTCTGAGACGATCAAAGAATGCCCATGTAATCTGTAGCACTTTCCAGGCTTTTAGTTCTTGGATTACTAAATGAAGTTGTCTTGAGTAAATACCTGACCAATGAAAGTTAACTCTTAAAGCATAAGTGTGCCTGTTTTTTATCCCAGCATTGCACATAATCTCTCAATACTGGATACTAATCTGTACATTATAAATTCTTAGATGGCAAATCAGGAGAATAGCCTATATACTCAGTATTAAGTTGTGATCGGTGACTAAGGGGCACCTTTTTCACGCTGTAGATACTGTGGTTTGCATTGTATCTGCTTGGTTCATTAGTGATAGATGTGTAGTATTTTTCCTTGCTTAAAAGGGTAAGTAGATTCTTCTGATTTGTGCATTATTGATAGTAGTTAGCACTTCAGAGGAAATAGCTAGGTTCTAAATGCACAGTTTCACTACTGATCTCTGACCTGGTAAACACAGCTGGACTTTCAAATCCCAGGTACAGCTGCCAGCTCTACAGACTGAAACCTTTAAATATAACCCATTGGGGTGAGGCTTACAGGCTGAAGTGGGTGAGGAGAGCTCCAGCCAAGGGGAGGAGAGCTCCAGCCAAGTGGTGATGATGGGGGACCCATCTCCTTTAATCAGTTAACTAGTTAAACTAATTAGGTAACCAATTAAACAGGTTTTTACATCCCTAGTTCCTTCAGCTTTATCAACAGGTGATGGGGAAATAGATCCCTATCATGGAAATAGCCTGCAAAAGAAGCAGGGATAGGGAGTGCAGACCATGGGCTTAGTTTTTTGTAACTATGTATCAAACTATAAATCTTGGCCTAGGTTGCAGCTAGTAGGAAGTTTCTCTGATTTTAATATTAAATTGCAGAGACGCACAGCTTCACAGGTTTGAAGGTGTTCTACCTGGCTTGGTTCAGAGACTACAGTTGGACTGGCTGGACTTCATTTTCTCTCCTAGTTGGAGCTCTACCAAATTCACAGTCCATTTTGGTCCATTTCAATTTCATAGAATTTTAAAACCAACTTCATGATTTCATATATTACAATCTTAAATTTCAGTGCTGTAATTGTACGGATCCTGAACCAAAAAGGAATGGGTGTGTGTGGAGGGGAGGAGCTGCGTGGTTATTGGAGGGGGGTTTTTTGCAATACTGTTACCTTACTTCTGTGGTACAGATAGGCAACTGCCTTCAGAGCTGGCCACCTAACCAGCAGTTGCTGCTGCCCAGCCACACAGGTCAGAAGACCTTGTAGAAGTAAGGATGGCAAAACCCTGATCCTCCTAAAAGAGCCTTACAAGCCCTTCGCTTGCAGTTCCCTTTTGGGTTAGGACCCCCATTTGGGAAATACTGGTGGTCTCCATGAAATCCCTACTGTATAGGATCAAAGCACAAAACTAGTCTTCACAGTCTGAGATGAACTTTTCATGACTGCTGAGGCCCTACTTATAGTTGGTCTGACACTTGTAACTAACTACTTGACTTCATAATGCATTATCTACTACTCCTGATTTTTTTCTTAAATAGTCAGTATGGGGAAATCTACATTTCTGTGTTTGAAATCTTGTTTTGATCAGCACTTGTCTTCAATTTGGACAATACATCATCTCATCTGAACCTAAAAGTTGAAGATTCTTATGTTGAGTGGGATTCTACTGGAGGCAAAGGCCAAGAGAACAAAATAAAAGGAAAAGAAAATAAAGGCAGGTGAGAACTTCAGCTTCATTCAAATTAAGATTTCAGGTTACAGATCTTAGAGTTCACGTTTAAAGCAGCAAACTATTTTGGTACTGTTTCTGCTTAAGATGCATAGTGTATTTTTGAATTGGCATACCATGATGTGCTGATTATCTGGACCACAGAGTTGTATTAAAGATTCTTAAATGGGGAATTGTCAAGTATACCTGTCTTGTTGGACTTTGGGAATATCCCAAGAAGAGAAGAAAGTCAGTAGCATTGGTTGCTGGCCCACTCCTGTCTGGGAATTGGCATCTCCCCTTACAATGTCAGTCCTCTGTCTGGTTGATGTAATTGTGGGCACCAAAGGAAACTCCATCCATATATTTGTTTGTGGAAAAAAATGTTGCTGTGATAACAGGAGGGCGAAGGCCCAGGCTGGGGATAAGATGCATGCAGCCCTATCGAGAGGTAAGTGTTCAGCTACTTTTATTAGCAGAAAAACCAAATCAAGAGTTAGAATTTTGTGAATCTAAAATGGAGACCTACGAATCTGCTTTTGTGAATCCAAGGAGCTAATATGGACTGAAATTGTCTGAGCTTCCGGTCTGAAGGTAGTCACCAGTTCAAAGTGTGTATCTTAGAATGAAAGATTGTCAGTCTTGCTAATACAGTAATTCCTCATTTAACACGATAGATACATTTCAGAAAATGATCGTGCTAAGTGAAAACATGTTACGTTGGGTCAGTTTTCCCATTGAAAATAATGGAAAAGGTGGGGGTTGCATTTCAAGTGCGCATGTGCTTGCAGCTCCAGCCTGCACTTCTTAGCAGCTGGGATCGGGACATAAGGTTGGGGGAGAAAGGAGACTGGGTTACAGCAGGGAAGGGAGGTGAAATCGTGTTGTTGCAGGGATGGGGTCGTGTTGTTGGAAAAATGTTCCCTAAAAAAAAATTGTGCTATCGTGAAAACACGTTAAGCGGGCACGTGTTAAGTGAGGAATTACTGTATTCTAATGTAGATGGATGGAATTGGATAAAACAAAAGAAAAAATGGGATAGAGAACCAATTGACGGCTTTTCTTCAAAAACAGAGGAGAGGGTATATTGGCATACCCTGAAATGCTATATCATTGACAGATTTGTTTCCATTGTCATACTACATTCTTTGCATCAATTGTTGGCTAAGCTATGTAATCGTGGTTTTTCCATGGTATCGTGTGAATACCTTTTAAATTCTGTACTGTAGCTCACTAGTTTTCAACCTTTCCAGACTGTGTCCCTTTCAGGAGACTGACTTGTTTTGTGTACCCCATTTTACCTCCCTCAACTACTTGCTTAAAATATCAAACGGAAGAGTTACAGTACTGAAAAATTGCTTGTTGTCTCTCTAAAATTGATTGGATTATCTTGTACTATTTTAATGTATAGAATAATACAAATAGTTCTGTGGAAATTTTAATTGGTACCAATATCGTTAGTGTTTTGTTCCTTGTTGTAAAAGTAGGCAAATAACTGTATTGCGAGATACCCAGGAATACACGTGCCCCTGTTTGGGAGCCACTGGTCTAGACCTTCAGTCTAGACTGGCATGATTTTCCGCAAATGCTTTTAACGGAAAATCGTGTCTAAGTTGGCACGGACGCTTTTCTGCAAAATCTAGACGCGGTTTTGTGCAAGAAAGCCCCGATCGCCATTTTCGCCATCGGGGCTTTTTTGCACAAAACAGTTTTTAGCTGTCGACACTGGCCCTCTTGCGCAAAAACATTTCCGGAAAAGGGCTTTTGCCTGAACGGGAACGTCAAAGCATTTGCACAAGAAGCACTGATTTCGGACAGTAGAACGTCAGTGCTTTTGCGCAAATTCAAGCTGCCAGTGTAGACAGCTGGCAAGTTTTTGCACAAAAGCACTTGCTTTTGCGGAAAAACTTGCCAGTCTAGACGCAACCACTGAGTAAGGGAAAGGGGTCATGACTGAGTCTCTTTATGAGCCAGCATTAACATTTTATATAAGATTAGTCCTATCCAGAGGTGGTGCCTCCGTTGTGAAGTTTTGCTACTGAGGTACTCTGCATGACTGTCAGCTATTATAACTTATAGACTGACTCTCTTGAATCTGATATGGACAATAAGGGATTAAATGGGTAACCTGTCACTTAATTTAAAAAAATGGAATAAGCTTTATGTAGTGGAAGGTTGTTCAAGTTTGGGCTGCCTCATGGAACCATAGAATATAGATATCTTATACACTATTGAGTCAGGATATCAAAAGCTGTTGATAGCAAATTGAATAAAATTGTGCTGTGGAAGCTGGAGAAGGACTGCACAGTACAGATGGTAGCATTTACATAATGCTCTTTAAGGCCAGTTCTGAAGAAAAGATGATGTATCATATAAAATGTTACACAAATAAGTCTTGACTAATTATCATCTAGTGTTACCCACATTGTTACCAATGTTAGAACAGTAAATGCCCTTTCTGGTTGGTGGTGGTTGCCAGAGGACTCACTGTTTTTCATAGGCTAAGATTTGTCTCTAATCTGTACAATGTGTAGTAGTGACCTCTCTTAATGATTGCTTATTTCTGTCTGACAGTGGCCAGATTACCGTACTGAAGAACAATACAACAAGGTGATAACCTACGTATTTCTAGTTCTAGGATCTAGACTCTAACTTTGAAAATCTTCAGAATTTTCCTTCTTAATTTTAGCTCTTTCTCTGGATAAAACATGAGCCCATCCAACAGTCTTCATCAGTACCTAAGACAGTACCATTGTCTGCTTCTATTAATGGTTTAGTAGTCCTCAGCAACCTTTTCCATGATGGCAGTCCCCATTCTCTGGAAACCAGCCTCCCTGGTCCATTGCTGTTAGCCAGAGTGGGATATGCGGTAGCTCTTTCAATCAAATAGAGTGGCACGTGCTTAAGTTTCAATACAGTGTAACATTAATTTATATTGTGTTGTGCCTAGAAGCCGTAGATTTGGACCAAGACCCCCTTGTGCCAGGCACTAAATGTACTGAAAACCAGACAGCCCTTGCCCCAAGCATCTTACCATTTTAATTTAGTTTTTGTTCAATCCGTTTTCCCGCACTCTTGAACCTTTAATGCCTTCAGCCCTGAAATGCTAGGCCACAACCTATAGATGCAATAGATCATACAGGTGGCAAGTTAAAAGGGATTAACGTGTAGATTCTTACTTGCCTTCCCTTTTCCCCTCCCAAACTGAACATCTTGAAAGACTGGATGCTAGATTATCTGATGAGCGGTCTGAACTGCATAGCTATTCTGATGATCAGACTTGCCAGATTGGAAGTATTGATACACTAGATTCCTTTTCAAGTCAGGTTGAAAGGTTTCATCTGAAACTCTCTTGGTGGAAAAATGAAGATGTGGCTTCTACTTTATGGATGGTTTTGGTCCAATTTTAAATTCCAAAAAATTGAAACATTTCAATTTTAGACTTATCTGAAAGAACATAATTGTTAAATTTCCTTCAGTTTTAAGTATTAAATACTTATTTTCACCCAGGATGAAATTTCCTGACTTTTTTTTTTTTTTAAAACTGGCAATGAACTGAAGAATGGGCTAAGATGGCCAATGTGTTTTGTATTTGAAACTCAAATACTATTGCCCATAACTTTACCTGTGAATGACTTCTTGCTGAATGGAATTTCTTTGGACATTCTCCTTCTTCAGCTTCTTTTCCTTGGTGTTTTATTGTTTGTCATGGGACCAAAATAGACATAAGATGTTCAATGCATAGACAAACTCTAGCCAACTCTCTGCAGAAGGAACCAGTCACCTTGCCCAGTCTAGCTTGTAAGGCTGGTTCCATTCCAGCAGAAGCTTAGACAAACTTTCTGGTTCTTGATACTGGAGGTTTGAGAGAAGTTATTGTCTTCTCCCTACCCCCCCTTTCCTGATTCTTTCCAAGAGTGCATAAGAATAAAATTTTAAGAAGGCCCAGTAACAAGCGATAAGCTAGCAAACTTGTTTTGTGCTCAATTTATCCTGACACTTTTATTCCTCTGATTTCTAGTTTGTGTGGAAAGAAAAGCTTAGTTTAAAAAAAAAAAAAAAAATATCTTATTTACAAATCTGTATCCAGGCAGTAAATGTTACTGTGTGAACTGTTAAAGGCTGTTGGAATTTAGTGGAGACAGTTGAACCACTGGATAAAATGGTCATTTATAGATCACCACTCTCTAATAAAGTAGTATGCCTTAATGTTTGGAGTATTATGTTCTAAATTGGGTGGGGAAAAGGCCCAACTTGCGAACTGTCTGCTTTTACTATGATCTCTCAATGACCATTTCACTTTCTGTATAGTTTGCTGGAAATTCAGCTACAAGGAACATCTAAGCTCTTGCTTCTAATAGAAACCAGAAGCAGATGGCTTCTCAGCAGTGGCACACATGGAGCAGGATGCAGTGTTGCTGTGGCTATTGTTTTCCCCTCTGAAAATATGCTTTAATTCTTGGCTTTGCTGTTTTTCATGCTTTCACTTATTTCCTTTTCTTTTGGTAAGTAAACTGCTGCTTTTTATTCCTATTTGTGTCAAGCCTTTTGAATGTTTCAGTTGGCTTACTTAAATTGTCGCACACTGCTTTTTAAGTACCGTTATCCTGTCTTTGCCCTCTTCTGGCGATGTTGTAGCCATGTTGATCTAAGAAGATTAGAGGGACAAGGTTGGTGAGAGAATCTTTTATTGGAACACCTTCTGTTGATGAAACACAGGCCTGAAGAGCTCTGTAGCTCAAAAGCTTGTCTGTTTCACCAATAGAAGTAGTTCAATAAAAGAACTACCCCACCCAACTTGTTTCTCGTTTTGCCAACAGTTTAGGAGCTGCTATGACACTCTACTGTCTGACAAATTAAAGTCTGCTGTATACAGTATTCCTAAACTACACGGGACAGGACCAAGTATTTTAGCACAATTTGCAAGACAGCTATTAGTGCTCTCAAAATGCTGTAAATGGTCTCTCACCAGTTAAATGCTGTAACCTAGGGTATATCTAGACTACATGCCTCTGATGACAGAGGCATGTAGATTAGACTACCCGGCATAGGAAAATGAAGCGGTGATTTAAATAATTGCCGCTTGATTTAAATTTACATGGCAGCCGCGCTGAGCCGATCAGGTGTTTGTCGGCTCAGCGCGGTAGTCTGGACGTTCCGCGGTCGACTTCAAAGGCATTTGTCGACCTGCCAGGTATGCATCCTGGGGTTCCATTCCAGTGGCAGCAGAGGGGCCAGCATTGACAGCTCAGCAACAGGGGGAGGGGAGTGCTTAGGGAAGAGGCAGGGCAGCTGCAGAGCCCTGCAGCCATGGGTCTGCACTCTTGGCCCGCTTGCAGCAATCCTGCCTCTTCCCCTGAACATCCCACAATCCCTGCTCCTCCATCTCCCTCCATGAGCTTGAACACCACAAATGTGCTATCTGTGGTGTTCTGGGAGGATGGGGGAGGGGGAAGGAGTTAGAGTGAGTGCTCCAGCCCTGGAGCACATGTGGATGCTGGACCAGGGAAGTTCTCAGACAAGGGAAGTCTGGCTTATAGAGATCCAAACTATACCTGAAAATGACCTATGAAGAACTAGTTCACAAGACTGCTGAGTATTCTTCCACATTGCATATCTGAGAGGTGACTATAGTAATGAATGGAACAGCCTTTAAAGGCTTCTCCAATACAGTTAAGAACTCAACTTTGTCTACTCTCCTGCGTGTTTTGGGGCTGATCTTTCTTGAGTGGAACACTGCTTTTCAGTAGTTGGTTTTAATGCATTAAAAGAAGTATTGAGCTTAATCTTAGCTAGGTTTTTCTACCTTGGTCTGAAATTTTACACCAACTTGTGTAATAACAGAAACACAAGCATCAGGCCCATTTATATAGTACAATGCTTTTCAAATTCTTTTTTTCCCCCAATGTTATGTTAGCACATCTATACTTTGATAATGCTATTTTTTTTCTTCGAGCAACTTAAATTTCAGGCGGTGTTGTGATGAACATAAATGGTTGGCTGTCTCCTGCTTCACCATATACCTGAATGTCAAAAAAAAAAAAAAAAAAAAAGTGACTCCATGTTCATTCACTTGCCATTTTCCAGTATAAAAATTTGCATCTCCGCTTTCTAAGTTTCCACAAGAAATTGGGCAAAACTTACTGACCTCTTGCATGTAATTTGAAAGACCGATGGCACATTTAATTTTTAAATCTGATTTTACTCTTCTCCCATTGACTTGTTCAGCTGCCCCAGTTTTCCACTTCACTATTTCATCATTACATTTTGTTTGCTTTTCTTCATCTTCCCTCTGTCAGCTCTCCTTGTGCATGATCACTAGCTCACCTATTTATAGAAGGGTTTATGGTGCAGCTAATGGCTGGTGCAGCATGCCACTTGAAATTGCGACACAAGCACCTAAGACTAAAGGCATGACTCTCATAAATTAATCTGACTCCTGGTAGAGAAATAAAATGTCTTTTCCATTATTTGACTGCTCTATAAACTTTCCCATACTGGAGTGCAAGTTATTTTTATCGTCTTGTTTTATAGAAGTGGAACACCGTCTCCAAAAAGGACCTCTGTTAGTTCAAGATCACCATTGATAAGGGGCAGCAGAGATCGCTTTACTGGTGAATCGTACACAGTGTTGGGTAGGCTGAATTTTTCCCCCCCCTTAACACTTAATTAGATACATCTGCCCATGCTCAGCACTGAGTTTCCAATCTGGGGAGACTTTGTAGCTTGTAATTCCAAAACATTCTCAGTGATTTCCTCAACCTAGGCTCGGATTGGAATCTGTATTCTAGCTTCATTTTTTTTAGACCTGTGCAAAAAGTCCTTGTGCTCATCTAGGAATCAAATGTATAAATGCAGAAAATGTTAGCAGCTAAGAAGTCTTTTTACTATAAAGTTATTCAAAAGATAGATAAAAACACTTCTTAATGACTTTCTACTGTGCCAATTGTAACTGCCTCAAGGTACACTTTTTTTTGTTAAATGCAGCATGGTTATACTTTCTGTCTCCAGTCTTCTCCCTGTTGCACCTTAACCGAGTGGTGTGAATATACACATGCTTACTAATAGTATCTAAATTTACTGAATTTTGTGTTTTTTCCCCTGGGCTCACTGTCTGCAACATTTAATTTTTACCTAGTAGTTATTTCTTGAGAAGGCATCAATGTCTTTGTTTTGCCCAGTAGGAACGGCCTGGTTGGGTATTAAAAATACCCCACCTCCTTCATTTGCAATCTGTTACAGGAGACACTGCTATTGAAAGTGGACAGCACTACTGGGAAGTGAGAGCTCAGAAGGACTGCAAATCCTACAGTGTCGGAGTAGCATATAAAAATCTAGGAAAATTTGATCAACTGGGAAAAACGAACACAAGCTGGTGTATCCATGTCAACAATTGGCTACAAACCACCTTTGCTGCAAAGCACAATAATAAAGCCAAAGCCCTAGATGTTCCTGTTCCAGACAGAATAGGAGTGTACTGTGACTTTGATGGAGGTAACTTTTTATACTGCGGACTTCATAGATTGAAACTTAGTAATGGATGGGTACTCCCATTGCAAATAGCCGGAGTACATAATGCTGTAAATGTGGAAATGTTCAGAGTCCCTCCAGGAGCAACACTAATCTGCTTGTTGATGGTGCGGGAGAACAGATCGAGAGAAGCAAAACTACATGTACATAACTGTCAAATTACCTGGGTCCCTTTGAAAACCAGTTATGAACACTGGAAATTATCCTGTAACATGGCTCTTGATGGGAAACTTCTAAATTTGATCGCTGTTTTCAGAAGATAAGCATTAGGGATGTAAAACATTAACTGCTTACTCAGACAGCATTAGACTTACCGGAATGCTTACTAGGTACCAGTTAACCATTGTGTTCGGCAGCGGGGACCCAGACAGGTCAGGGCGGCAGCAGGCAGGACCCTGGCCTCAGCTGTACCTGCAGCAGCAGCCCTCACAGCCCCAGGTGGGAGTAAATGGCCCTCCCAGTCCACTGATTGGTTAACCAGATAAAGGATATAATTTTAATCATTTAACCAGTTAACTGTTTTGAACAGTGTTTGTCCCATATGAGCACACACCTTGTCTTCCCTCTCCACTTGATAGGTAGGGAAGGGTTATGAGCAGAAAAGCAGTTGCTTAATTGGCTATATGCTTTGTCTCAGTAGTTGGCCTGTTTGGGTATGTCTACGCAGCAGGGCTGAAGTCAATAAAGGATATAATTTTAATCATTTAACCAGTTAACTGTTTTGAACAGTGTTTGTCCCATATGAGCACACACCTTGTCTTCCCTCTCCACTTGATAGGTAGGGAAGGGTTATGAGCAGAAAAGCAGTTGCTTAATTGGCTATATGCTTTGTCTCAGTAGTTGGCCTGTTTGGGTATGTCTACGCAGCAGGGCTGAAGTCAGATTAAGCTGCACAACTACAACTGTGTTAATTGTGTAGTTTATTTTGGCTTTTAGTGCTGTTTACACAGCAGGAAGTTGAAGGAAAAGCTCTTCCGTCGACTTCTTACTCCTAGGGTGTGTCTAGACTACATGCCTCCTTCGACGGAGGCATGTAGATTAGCCAGATCGGCAGAGGGAAATGTAGCCGCGATTAAAATAATCGCGGCTT